ACCTGTGGCATCACTTGAAGGGATGCCATGGCGGACATATCGGACAATTGCTCATTATCCCTGAGAAATTCGGACGAATTTTTCTCAGTTCTAGCCCTTGGGGTGGCCAGAGATATAAGCGGCTGCATTAATGTCGGCTGAGCAGGCTGAGGCGGATCAGAAACAGCGGATTTCTTACGCTTAGGGGACTCATTTAGCAGCTGAAGGCCACTAAACTGAGTGTCCAGCGCACAGAGCTGTTCATTGATTTTACGAAAACCAGTGATCAGCTCTTTAAATCCATTTTTGGTCTGTCTCATGAACGACCTCATGAACGACCTCATTTCGCCTTGCACAGCACGACAGTTTTCACAACAATAATGTAGCCCAGACCTACGGGAAATGGAATCCGAAACTGAGGCAGTGAATCCGGCACACTTGGCATGTACGACGTTCTCACATAGCCAGCAATGGATGGCAGGCTGGGATGAGGAAATTGTCTTGTTACAAGACTTAATGGCACAGACAAGTTTAAATTCCATTTTATTTATTTTTTATTTTTTTTTTTTATTTAATTAAACAAAAATTAATATTTAAAAAGTTAAAAAACACAATACCTTGAACCACTGTGCCAAACAAGAAGCCGAAACGGGAGCTTTGAAAGAGTGCAAAAGAGAAATGCAGAAATATAGATAAGCCGGGGAAGAAGCACAGCTGAGCTATGCTTGGGATAGAATTTAGACAAATTATTAATTCGACTCCAAATATACCACAGCACTCGCGAAGCGATACGGTTTAGGCTTTAAGAGGGTTAAGATTCACAAGATTTAATTCACAAGTATGTAAACACCGGTTTACCAATATTTTTAATAAAACGCAGTGCGCACAAAAAGAGAGGGGGAGAAAGAAAGAGAGAAAGTAAGAGAAAGAGAGGGAAGTCGATAGTAGTATTAATCTTATTATTCTTTTTTTCATTTTCTATAATATATCAATATTATCTAAAAAAAACAAGCTGGAATCGTTAAATTCGTCATCTTCGAGACAAAAATTATTTTCGTATTCGTACGAAAGCATCTCAATTACCTCAATTGGAAGTAAAAGACTCTTTAGTTTTTTATGCATCTCGATAAATTAAGGACGAAATAATTGGATCTGATGTATCCATAGCTCTGTTGAACACATCAGCGAAGGAATGTAATCGGTTGTGCTTTCTTGAATGGTGACGCCTGTCTGATTTATACAGCTTGTTTCAGGACTCAGACACTTCTTCTCCAAAATAGCCGACTGGAAGCACCGTATTTTCCATTACTTCCATTAAAAACTGGTGTCTTTTTTTTCAAAACGGCATTATCGACATTGTTATTTGCATGGCGTTCAAAAAAACATTGTACAGCCATTTGATGCCCAACCCGGCCCCTTTCGCTGTTCCAAGCAGCGACCAAATCGGCTTTGGAGAAAGTGAGGTTATCTAAAAAAAAATCAAATTGCATAAATAGTGGAGAAAAGTGCACAATAAGACTAACAGCCTTTGCTCAGTATTGACAACGCTACCACATACACTTGGACGCATTGAAAACTTTCTATTCCTTCTATTTCAAAACTCTTCCCAAAGTTGAAATTTGTTTCCCAAAATTAAGCTTAAGGTGCATTTATAAAATGAAAAAATGTTAGTATAGACACGCACAATTTAAACAGTTAATACATTCAACATGTAGTACAAACCTGTGAAATCAGTACCCATTACTATTTTTCTTTTTAAAGTTTTTTTAAACTTAGCGGCCGTGCTTTCGGATGCAACAGCTGACTTTGCAGCTGTTATGCTAACATATGGTGCTAATAATTAACATTTTGAGTATGAGGCATAATAGTTTGATGTTTTCTTAAACATTGGTAGCATTCCCATTAATTTTTTTTAAATCAGAGAACTTTCAAAAAATGATTAAATGCCACATAAAGTGGTCAAAAACCCCATAGTGCAGTGGGGGGCAAAACGCACACATGTTTAGTGTATGAGTGTATGCGTAGCAGAGAAAAACAACGAGAGCAGAGCCTTCACTGAGCAAAAAAAAGTAGTTTTTTATTTCATTTTTCGTTAATTGAGAAGTTTGAATGGGCACAAAAGTAGTGCATTTTATATTAAAGAAAGCTTTTCTAGCAACAATTATTTAAAAAAATCGAAATTTTTTGCTTCCCATCTATATTTTCTATGGAGAAAACTTTATCCAACCCAATTTCTATCGACCTATAGCCAAAATTTGCAACGTCGCTAAGATACTGGAGCGGATAGTAACTAAAAAATTGACTTTTCTGGCTCGCAATTTCATATCCCCCAACCAGCATGGTTTTCTGCCTGGGAGGTCCACTACCACTAATTTAGCTGTCTTTTCTTTTCACTGCTTTGAAGCTTTTGAAAACCGATTTCAGGTTGATGCCATTTACACCGACTTCTTCAAAGCCTTCGACAAAGTGTGTCATGCTGCCCTTCTGGCTAAATTATATAAATTAGGTATTCATTCCTGCCTATTAAGTTGGTTCGAGTCTTATCTGGCTGACCGACCTTGCCACGTTACTGTTGGAGACGCTATCTCAAGTCCATTTGTCACCTCCTCTGGTCTTCCACAAGGCAGCTCTCTTGGACCTCTTCTATTTATCATTTTCATTAATGACATCTCGTCATGCTTTCGTCATTCGCACTTTTTGGTGCTCCCGCAATCTTCTTCCATTAAACTTATCTAAGTGTATGTTTACCCGTTACAGTAGGCGGTCTCTTGAAATCTGTACGGGTTATTCCATCAATAATTATAATTTGGCAGCTAAAGAAGAGGTGTTAGACCTTGGTGTCTTATTCGACAGCAAATTTAAATTTTCTGGTCACTTAGACTATATTTTACCTAAAGCGTATGCTATGCTGGGCTTTGTTAAGAGGCACGTGAACCAGTTCAAAAGTCCATACTCGAGCCTCAGCGTCTATGCTGCATTCATTCGGTCGAGGCTGGAATATGTCTCAATCATTTGGAATCCGGAGTGTAAAGTTCGTTCCAACCGAATTGAGCGACTCCAGAAAAAATTTTTAAAATTTGCTCTTCTGCCTCTAAGGTTTCAGGATCCTGTTCCTTCATACCAGAGCCGTTGCCTTCTTTTGAACGTTTGCGCGTTGGAGGATCGGCGTAAACTGGCAGCGTTAACTTTTTAAAATAATTTAATCGTTGATAACATTGATTGTCCTTTTTTGTTGGGACTCGTTAATTTTAATGTTCCTCAAAGGGATCTTCGTACCTTTGCCCCCTTTCGGGTCAAGTGTCATAGGGCCAATTATCTTTTAAATGAGCCGATAGAGCGGGCTCTTTCTTATTTTAATTCTTTGCCGCCTAGCCTCCGAATTGAGTGGGGCTCTGATAAGGGTGTGTTAAAACGCAAGGTAATAAGGCATTTATTAAGTTTTTGTTAATTTTGTAGTTTCATTTATTAGGTGTAAGTTGTTATTATGTAGCCATGTAAGGATTTGTCCGTTGGCGAAATAAATAAATAAATTTCAGAAAATTTTTCTCAGTGGAAACGTTTTTAATTTTAAGTTTGGGCTAAGTCAAAATAAAAACAAATGAGAGAGCTTATACAAAAATTTGAAAGTGCTCACACTGTGTGCCGTCGGCGCTGCGACAGAATTTCCTACCCTATGCACGCGTGCTAAGGAAAATGAGAGTTTGCTTCCCACTGCTTTAAAAACAGGAATGTTGGGTCATTTCTGATCATTCAGTTACAATCGTTCCTTTAGTTATATGGCAGCTATTGGATAAAGTCGTCCGTTCCCGGAACGTGGGAAAGTCGGAATACCTTTATACTGCGTGCAAAAGATAGAAAGGTGTGTTCAAAATTTCAAAGCGATAGCTTTAAAACTGAAAGACTAGTTTGCGTAGAAACAAACAGACGAACATACTTATATCAAAGATTATAAAGTACATAGATGGGACATCAGGGCCCAAAACGGTAAACTTTTTTCGTCGAGCTTGTTGGTGAGGGGGGGGGAACGCACATGCATACGATTCTATTTTTAGAACTCTTTACATGTATCCGTCAACAAAAATGTGAGCCTCTGCATGTATGTGTGACTGCTCGCACTGCTTCCAAATTTCAGGACCCCAAGATTAGGAGCGCTCGTGCTACCATCAAGGATACTCAAGGATTGATTTAATGATACATAAAATTATTTTTAAAGTAAGCGCGATAATTCATATCAAAAACAGAGCTGAAGAGTAAAGATAGTAAACGATATTTCTGATCTCTTTGCTCTCATACTGGTTCGAAGTGAACGTTTCAAACTTTCATCGTTCCAAAGATGTTACGTTCTAAAAATAGAATTCTCTCTTTCCCTCTTTCTTCTGCCAGCCGCTTGTCGTGGAACCCGCTCTCAAACGTTTTCATTTTTACAGCGGGCTCCACGACGAACTGAGGCGATGTTAAGGTGATTTTAAAATTTTGTATTTTTCTTGATTGGGTTATAAGTTTTGAAAAACACTATATATAATAAAAATATGGTATAAATAGATTTAAAATTAAATAAAAGTGGACGTCCCGACCCTGATTTGAACTTATTTTACTCTGCCCAGCAGCCAAGCACTCTACCACTAGGCTAGCCCTCATTCGTTATCGCGCGAAAAATTTCCCAAACTTAAGTTGTCGCGCTGGAACCCGCCATAGAAAATTTTTGTTTATATGAGATGTCCCATCTATGTACCTTATAATCTTTGCTTATATCAACTCAGGTGGTGATCCTGATCAAGAATATATATTCTTTATAGGGTCGGAGATATCTCCTTCACTGCGTTGCATATATTTGACCAAAACTATAATTAATATTTTAAACCCTTTGCAAGGGTTTAAAAACCAGTATAGAAACAAAAACAATAGAACTTGCCTAGTATATATAGAACTTGATATAGAAATATATTTTTTTTTAAATCTGTGCACAAGCAGGGAACTTGTCTCTTGTTAAATTATTTGTTATTTGTTTAATTTTCTTTCAGATGGCACCTGCAATATTAGATGTCCCAAGTGTAAGTTTTACTACATTCAAATATTTTTTATTGTGCTATGCCTAATTTTTGTTTTTTAGCGGATAATGGATTGCTGAAGTACACTGTCGGTAACTCCTATGAGTACTCTTTCGACAGTATTTTAACCGTTGGTCTAAATGCTGGAGTTATTAGTGAGGCAGATGATACAAGTCTTAAAATATCAGGAGTGGCAAAAATATTCTCAAAAGGAAACTGTGGATACTCCTTACAGCTCACTTCAGTAAAAGTTTCTAATACAAAAGAGTCCATGGAAAAAAAAATTCTAAACGGCATTCAGAAGCCTATCGATTTTATTTTAGCTAGTGGAGAATTAGAACCTCAAATTTGTACTGATTCTAACGATTTGGAATATTCTGTGAACATAAAGCGTGCTGTTATTTCGCTGTTTCAATCGGGAACAAATACAGAAAATGAAGTTGATGTGTTTGGCCAGTGCCCTACTCATACCTCAATCTTAAAATCGGGTGGAATCGATACCATTACAAAAGTGCGAAACTTGAACAGCTGTGCCTATCGTGAACAAATTAATAGTGGTCTTATTTCTGGCGTGGTTAACGAAAAAGCGGGTATTACATCAAGTTTGATTTTGCAAGCAAACTATGCTAAAGAGTTAAAAATTATAAACAGTGTTGTAGAAAGTGTGCAACTCACGGAAACATATAAATTTGTTGGGTCCACTAAAGGAAATTCTGATATCAGCGCAAAAGTTTTCACAAGCATTAAACTAAAAAATGCGTCTGGGGCCAAGAGCACTTTACCACCCAGTGGAACTACTGTTAGAAGCATTATGTACCAAAAACCAGAGACATACTCGTCAAAAAACATTAATTCCCTTAAAAATATTTTAAATGAGCTCGTGAATTCTATTAGCGACTATGTTAAAATAGATAGTGCAAAAAAATTCGTTGAGTTTATTCGTTTATTGCGTCATGCAGACGTTGAGACCTTATTAGAATTATCTGCATTTCCACACCCGAACAAAGTTTTGGCCCGAAAAGTTTATTTGGATGGGCTATTTCGTACAAGCACTGCAGAAGCCGCTCGAGCTATTTTAAAACAATTTGGAAAATTTGACGACAAAGAAAAATTAATTGCTGCTCTATCACTTAATCTAGTAAAAAATGTTGATAGGGAAACTCTTAATCAAGCTGCTTCTCAATTAACGCCAAGTGCACCTAGCCAATTATATCTTTCGATTGGTAGCTTAGTTGCCGATTTTTGTTCTAAAAATGTATGCCATGGAGTAGAAATTGAGCCTTTAATTAAAAAATTTGTAGATGGTCTTAAAAGTTGCAAAGCCAATACAAAAAAAGATGAAGATCGCATTGTGTCAATTTTGAAAAGTATTGCGAACACAAAAACAATAAGCTCTAATATAGTATTTGCTTTAAATGAGTGCGCCTCCACAGGCAGATCTAATCGTATACGTGTGTCTGCTTTGCAAGCTATTGCTAGTATTGGGTGCGATATGAACCTACAATCGAAATCATTGGAATTGCTTCGAGATTATAACGAAGATTCAGAGATACGTATAGAAGCCTATTTAGCGGCAATTTCATGTCCAAATGCAGACTTAGCTAACAAAATTTCTGAAATTGTGAATTCTGAAAAAGTTTATCAGGTTGGAGGCTTTATATCATCGAACTTAAAAGCGATTCGCGACTCAACGGATAGTAGCCGAGAACAACAAAAGTACCATTTGTCTAATATCCGAGTAAATAAGCAGTTCCCTAAGGATATAAGACGCTACAGTTTTAATAATGAAATTTCTTATAATATTGATGCCCTAGGTTTTGGAGCAAGCTCTGACTATAAATTAATTTATTCACAACATGGATTTTTGCCCCGATCCTCACGAATTAATGTAACAACTGAACTTTTTGGAACTCATTTCAATATTTTTGAAGCAAGCATACGCCAAGAAAATTTGGAGAATGTTTTGGAGTATTATCTAGGCCCAAAAGGTCTGCTAAATAAGGATTTCGATGAAATTGTAAAGCTTATTGAAGTAGGAAATGCCGGAGGCGGGCGTGCTAAGCGGTCAATCGCAGATGATGCAGCAAAGATATCAAAAAAATATAAAAATTATGGCAATAAAATTTCGCGAGATATAAATCTAGATCTATCATTAAAGCTGTTTGGCTCGGAATTAGCTTTTCTTAGTTTCGGGGAAAACATTCCGAATACGTTAGATGATATCATAAATTATTTTTCTGATTCATTTGAAAAGGGGAAAAAGGAATTGTCTGCATTTGAAAAAAATTTTGCGTATCATAACTTATTTTTAGATTCAGACCTCACATATCCAACAAGTATTGGAATACCCCTCGAATTTACAGCTCAAGGATTCGCAGTCACTAAATTAGATTGTGCTGTGAGCTTAGACATAAACGCAATTTTGGAACAGAATTGGCAAAAAGCCAATTATAGATTAAAGATGGTTCCAAGTGTCGATTTAATCGTTAATCTCCAAGTTGGTTTTAATGCACAAGTACTGTCTACCGGCCTTCGCATAGTTTCTACAGCGCATTCGGCAAGTGGAAATGATGTACATTTTGCTCTTAGTAACGATGGGGCAGGATTTAATTTTGATGTCGAACTCCCTAGGGAAAAAATTGAGTTTATTAACATAAAAGTTAATGCGGAACTTTTTATTGCTGAACAGGACAAGCAAAAAACTATGGGTCTCAAAAGTACGAAAAAAACCCAAAACGGTCATCCAAATGAAATGTGCTTTAACCAGTTGGATATCATTGGATTAAACATCTGTATTGAAGCATCAACGAATTTAAATGAAATTCAAGCTAATATTGGAAATAATGGAAAAGGTCTTTCGACTCGTGACCATTTTCATTTATCCAAACCATTTAGTTTTGCAATTTATTTAACATCAGAACGTAAAATTGGAATAAAAGGAACTCGAAAAATTAAGCCATCAGGTAGCCAACAATGGAAATTAGATTTTTCTACTCCAGAGTCAAAGGTTTCACATGATAATAGTATTACTTTTGAGCTCGGATCAAAACCACGTATATATGGACGATTGTCCTTCGACAATTCCCAGTATCATTTGGGAGTTGAAGCTGGACTTAATAATGATAATCATGAATTGGTGGCTTATGGCCAATACGAACAAGACAAAGAAGTAAAAAAATCTAAAATTGGGTTTACCAAGAATGGAAATGAATACACCCCTCTACTCGAAATTCAAGGAAGTAATGGCATCACTAACCATATTTATGGATACCATGCTGATGGTAAGATAATTGTGAATAAAATCAGTGAAAAACTGGAAAGATACAATTTTGAAAATTTTAAAGTTTCAAATGGAAATAAAGAATATTTCGTTTTAAATGGATGGACAGAAATAGGCGCGAGTTCAGTTAATTCAGACTTAAAAATTAGTTCAGAGCAGCAGTCCTACTTGGTACAAGGCAATTTTAAACTGGAAAACGGACAATATGCCGGAGGCTTATTTATTAGTGACGAACGCTCTCCAGAAAATGTGTATGGAAGTTCCGTACAATTGACGATTAACGATCATTCCTACGATGTTAAGTTAAATGCTAAAGCTTTTGCTTGGGCAGTTGACTCGGATGTAAGCTTTGAGTTTGTAAACGACATGGATTCGGTTCGTAAGGGAACTTTTAGACAAAGCACATACGTTCAAAATAGGAATAAACCAATTGGAGCTTTTACCACCCAATCGAATTTTGATGTGAATAAGTTTAGTCTTGATACTGAATTATCATATGACCAAAAAGTTGGTTCGTTAAATATTAAATATGAAAGCAATGAAAACTCGTGGAAAATGTACGACCTTGAAATAATTGCTAAGCTTAAGGATCATTCAATAAATATTATATCAAAAAAGAATTTCAACGGTAGCCTATATACTATTGATAATGTTTTAACTTCAAGTTGGGGAACTTCATTCTCTGCGAAAGGAGAAATAGGCCAAAGGTATACAGCACAAGATATTCATATTAATATGGAAGGAAATTTTCAATTAAGTGGAAAGGATAAATATAATCATTGGATATTTAAAATTATTGGAACCCCTGACAAAACGAACGGCGAGCTGAGAGTTAGCCGGGATACAACAGAACTCGTTAAATTTACAAGCGAGTCATATCATCCTCAAGACAAAACATCCTCCGCAAAGGTATCTCTTAATATTAAAAATATATTAAATTCTAAAGGTGAGTTCCGCGTAGCTAAAAATGGAAAGGGCGAGCTTACCGCAACTATTGAGACTCAAAAAACTGAACCAAAACATAAGCTCGATGTTGAAACCAAATTTCATATACTGGCACCCAAATATGACATAGACACGAGCATTATTATTGATGGTAACAAAATTCATTTTAAATCAGAAAACAACCTTGAAAAGCTAAGATTTTCTACCAAAAATGTGGCAGAGGCAAATGACAAAAAGATTTCTTTTGATGCCAATGGCAGTGTGAAAGGCGAACTGAGAAGCAATGGAGAAATTCTGGGAACTTTTTCATTAATTATTCCCGATGGAAGAATTATTGGTGGCGCTATTAATCGCAAAATTGTGACCAATGTGAAGACTGGTATAACCCAAGGAAACGTTGAATTCCAATTTACTGATAAGCCTTCTGAAAAAAGTAAACGTACAATTGAATTTAAAGGAACGCTTGAGCGCCTTAATACCAAGACAAAAGAGTTTTCTGTAATTAGTCAATTTGTATATACTCCATTCGATGGAAAAAAATCTGAGCTGAACTATCAAATTAAACACCTACGTAACGGAGAAGCTGGAAGTTTAGATATAAGCTGTGCGGCTCACGGCAATCCATTTAACCAACCTATTAATATTTCGGTTGCTATTAGCGAATACAGCGTAAATAGCGCAGAATATCGCCTCTCCACTGTATACGGTGATATTTTAACAGTTACATTAAATGGAAATTATGACAATAAACAAGACCCTGCTACATATCAGATTCAAACCAAGGTTCAAGTTCCAACGTCTAATATAAAGTTCATTGAGTTTAATAGTCATGGTAAAATTTTAAAACCATCAACATTCTATAAAAATGACCCATCTACCATTGAATTTGCTGCAGATTTTAAAACTGGTCAAGGTATTTTTGGTCGCATCAACACAAATTTGAAGGGTACATCACAGGAAGGAAACTATAATTTGGAGACCCAAACTAATAATATGGAATCGCCATTTAAATTGCAAGGAAATTATTTACGGGATCAAAAGGGAAGCTTAAAAGATGGGGACTTAAACAGCAAGCAAAAATATGCAGTTAGCACCCAGTATGGCACACAATTTTTAAAAACTAATGTAGAAGTATCCTATGGTGCCGCTGCAGCAGAGGTTGTATATAAATTAGACTCAAGCTACGAATCTGCCAAAGACATCGAAGTCAATTTACGTGGTCAAAAGAGTTCCGATGATTCGACTTACTTAATCCTTGCAAAAATCAAACAATTTGATAAATCATATGGCTTGGATACAAAACTTTTTCAAACACCCCATAAAAAAGGATTTGATATTCGCATTGATTTAATTAAAGAAAGCCCTATTATTATATCGAGTATTATAGAATTATTGGGTGAGCGAAAAGGAAAATTAACTTTGGAACTACAAAATATAATTGACTTTGATTTCAAGATAAGATCTGAAGCATCCTACGTAAGCATCGACGATTTTTATATTGTAAGCGAATGGTCCTCAAAAAAACTTCTGTTAAATGGGTACGAGCTGGACGCGCGAGCACAAAGCAAACACTTAAAAGTCCAACTTAAGAATGCTTCAAAAATAATATTTTTGGGCTCTGCCACCTATGCACTTAAAAAAGAACAAAATAAAGCAATTATCGAAGGCCAAGGACAAGTACAATACCAGGGAAAATCACAAAATGGTAATTTTAAATTAACCAGACAGCATTACGACATAACCGCAGATAAAGAAATTGGATTCTCATATACATTTAATGGAAATTTTGGAAGTAAAAATGGCATATCTACCATAAAGATTACCAACAAAGAATTTAACACAAAGTTTTCAATTTGCGAAGAAAAAAAACAATGTACAAACGTCCAATTACAATCAATTGCGACCGTTGACGAACAAAATTTAAATACGGCTCAATATTCTACGCTTGTACTAGTTGATTTGCGTGAACTTGGTTATCCATACGAATTTGAACTAAAATCACAAAATATACAACAAGGAATAAAGTACCAATACAAATTAGATAGCTTTATTTCGGGAAATAATGTCAAATACCAAATCTCTGCCCTCATCCAGCCCACTTCTTCCATATTTAAAATCACATTGCCCAAGCGCCAAATTTCGTTGGAAACTGTGCAAAAGTTTCCAACTGACGGAAAAATTATTGGTCACTACGAACAGTCAGCTGCTTTATACATTAATAAGCTTCAACGTCCCAATGAAGTGTTTCGAATAGGAACTATCTTAGATATATCAGGAATCGACCGAGTTGCTCTTAACGCAAATGGTATTTTTAAACTAGAGCATCCGTCAATACGACCGTTAAGCATTTCTGCACGAGTAGATGCAAACGCCGAACAAGAACAAATTTTTAATTCGGAAATTATTTTCGATGTTTTTAGATTGCCCGAACACAAAGTCATAGGATCTAGTAAAGTTCGGAATTCACGGACCAAAAATCATTTTAACTTTGAAACTTTTTCCACTTTTAAGTCGAACGGACTGCAGTTCCAGTATGAATTAAACGGCAACGGAGCAGTTAACACCGAAGCCCACGAATTTAATATTAGCCTTGAATTAAATAATGGGAAAGATAACTTAAAAGCAATATCGTTTGGAAGTATGGAAAAAATTGAATTGTCCTTAAGCGAAGCAAATGATCAAATTTTCAGAATCTTCGTCGAATTTAATCAACAAAAAAAATCAGCAAAATACAACGCAAAATTGGAAGCTCTTGACCGAAACATAATTGAAATCAGAAGTGAGATTCAGCCCTCGTCTGCCATAGTTACACTTAAGCGTCAAGATCTCCTTGATGGTAGCGTAGAAGTAAAATTGGGAAAGGAATTTAAATTCGACATTTCAAGCAAGGGGAAAGTATTGTCCAATGGGCGTGTAGCTTTAGATCCGACGAATTTTTTGCAAACGAACTACCAAGCAAATGATGAAAATGTTAAAACATTTTGGGTGAGTTAAAAAATTTGCCTGTGAAAAACTTTAAATTTATTTTTACCATTCTTAAACAGGACAACATTGAATCAGAATTTAAGCAAGAAACCGATCACATGACCAAAAGTGTTAGCCATAAATTTGAAGTGATACGAAATGAAGCAGCAGAAAAGATAAAGTTGGTCAAAGAGGCTTCTCCTGATTTTTCGCAACTCAAGAATACACTAGAAGAAAATGTAAATGCTCTTGTTCATGAGTTAGAAGAAGATCCATCAATAGAAAAAATATTTTTTGAAATGTAAGTATTATGCTTGTAATTAATGTCTAGTTAAAACAAAAAAAAATTAATTTGAATTATAAAATTAACAAAAATTTTTATTTTTTTAGACGTACACTATTGAAAAATGTTGGTAATACAATCGACAAAGTGACAAATACAATAAGCGAAGCATATGAAAATATTAATAAATCTCTTTTTAATGTATATGAAAAGCTTAACACACTTTGGAAGGACTCCATTCTTAAGGTGTGGGATGACATTACCTTGACTGCAAATAAAGTAATAAATCAGATACGTATAGAGATTTTCAACGCCTGCAAAAATGCTTTCCAAGGATTGCGTAATGTAATGGACAAGTATGGACCGGTACTGAAAAATTATGGAAAAGTAATTTCTGAGTTAATAAAACCAATTAACGAAGCACTGCAAGAAATTATACAAAATTTGGTACAAACAGTGGAGGAGGTTAATAACGACTTTAAAAAATTTGTTGGAAAGCTTCCAAATTTTGAAAGCATTTGTAATGAGGTCAATACCAAAATTAAAAACTTCAAGATCTTAGAAAAGACACTAGACCTTACTAACTCTATCTTTGAACAGTTAAATATTTTACATCAAACTCAAGAAACAACGGAATTCCTGCAAAAACTACATGAATATTTGGATGCTAAATTAAAAAAACAATCAGTCGATGACCAAAAATCTCTTAATGAACTAGGTAAACTATTTATCCAGGCCGTTCGGTCCATTTACATGTCAATAAAAAATACATCTTCAGAAACTTTTGTCCATGCAACCGATTTTCAAGTGTGGATTAATTCTATACCACAGTCCTTAGAGTCTGTGTTTAAACTACCCACAATACTCTTATTGCAATCTAGTACCTTAAACTACATATTGAATGAAAATTGGGAAAATATTTTCTCAAAAAATTGGTTAAGCTCTTGGATATTTTTCAATAATTTTGAGCTTAAGGGCCATATTGTTGACGGCCAGCATGTATTCACCTTTGATGGTCAACATTTTGATTTCCTTGGAAACTGTAAATACATTCTTGCACAGGATAGTGTTAACAACAATTTTAGTATAGTAGCTCAAATCACTAATGGAAAGCTGAAAGCCATAACACTCACAGATGGTGACGGTAAATTTGCTGAAATTGCGGATAGTGGTGCTCTTAAAATCAACGGAAACTCAGTTGAATACCCTCAGCATTTTTCTGGAATCCATGCTTGGCGGCGATATTATACTATACACTTACACTCTGAGTATGGAGTATCTTTAATATGTACCACAGATCTTAAAGTTTGCCATATAAAAGTCAATGGATACTATACAAGCAAAACTCGGGGACTTTTTGGTAACGGCAACTTTGAGCCATACGACGATAACTTACGCATCGATGGTACTATAACTACAGGATCGGCTGATTTGGCCAACGAATACGGTATCGGAAAATGTACACCTGTAGCTGCGACCAATAATCAAGGAGACAATCACTTGCGTTCTGAAATATGCAGCGAGTTATTTGGCATCGAGTCCCCACTATTTATTCATTTTCTTACAATCGATTCCAGACCTTTTCGCAAAGCATGTGATATATCCGTTGGAAAGGTTAGCGAAAAGGATATAGAAGAAACTGCATGTACTTTTGCTTTAGCATATGGCTCTGCGGTTAAGTTGGTTAACAAATGGGTAATTTTACCTTCACGTTGCATAAAGTGCAATGGACCGCCTGGTCAGAGAGAGCTTCGAGATGAATTCACCGTAAAACTGCCAAACAATAAAGCTGACGTTGTTTTTGTCGTCGATATTAATGTAAGTCCTCTTCTTCTGAGTAATTTAATTGCTCCAGCAATTAGTGATCTTCGAGAAACTCTTAAAGCACGTGGTTTTACTGATGTGCAAATTGGTGTTATTGTATTTGATGAAAAAAAGCGTTATCCAGCTCTACTAACGAGTGAAAATGGAAAATTAAACTACAAAGGAAATCTGTCTGGAATAAATCTAAATACTCCAAATAACTTCTGTGATAGTTGTGTGGAAAGAATAATACAAGAACAAAGGATCTTAAATGTTTACAATTCCTTTAAAGACATTCTAAATAACATAATTCCCCAATCCGACGAAAAGGCTTTTAGTTTAGCCCTGGATTATCCATTCCGTGCTGGCGCAGCAAAAAGCATTGTTGGCGTACGAAGCGATTCCTTAGAGTATAAGAACTTGGTAAGCATGCATTAAGAAATTATACCAAATTATTAAAATTAACAAACCTTATACAAAAAGGGCTTGGGGCTATTATTACAACTATACAAACTAATACTATATGCTGTACTATCTTTCTAGTCGAAATTCGTCAGAGCCCAACTTACTGGATCTCTTACTAAATTCGATGGTGCTCTTCTGCATCTTATTGGACCTGTCAAAGCACTGGCAGTGGAAGGCATACCAGGCGAAAAAATAATTGGTAATTAAAAATTTTGTTTTATAATTGTTTCTAAAATATATATAATATATTTTTTTTAAAGGTTTTAACACTCGTTTGGTAGCTACTTTGGATAGCAAGGAAGTAAAAAAACGGGCAAAATTACACTTTGAAAATGATATGGGTATCGATTTTGTACTCAATAACGGTGGCTGGATTTTTTCCACGCAAAACTTTGATAAATTTAAGGTATCAGATCAAAAGAAGATGCTATCACAAATCACTTCTTCAATAGCGGATACTCTATTTAAAACGGAAATAATAAGTGACTGTCAGTGCCTACCGGTTCATGGTTTACATGGCCAACATAAATGCATTAACAAATCAACAACATTTCTTCCTAACAAAAAGCCGAAAGCATAAGAATGTGTAAAATCAAAATATCTTACGAATACTGTAAATCATATTAACAATAAATAAATAATCTATTTCTTGTATATTTCTGTCACAAAATTCACTTTTACACAAATAAGATGCAGCTAGTATAAAATACATAGTTGTACAGCTACTAGCATATTAACAGAGAGATGTTTTCTTGTCCCAAAACAAATAACAAGTAATTATAAGACAAGAATAAATAAAGTCGAGAAACTTGCATACAAGTCTAAAATATCAGATACTTTGAACTCTTTTTTTCAGAAACATCAAAATTCAAAATTTTCAAAATTTTGCATCCATTTAAAATTTCGATTTTAGGATCTTTTAACCTATCACTGAATCAAGCTGGAAGGAAAGTTTTAATGGGAGAATTTAAAAGTGGAAAGTAGAGACGGTAGTAAGTATATTAGCTAAAAACACTAAAGTAGTAAAGTTGACCTAGCCTCGACCTCGGTCACCACAGGCTTGTTTTCATAATTCGTCATCACGGCGTTGGGGTTGAAAATCAGTCGAATCCGGCCAAAAAAGTGTCGCCCTCGGTGGGTTGAATCTCTTTAAGAAGTAGGAGGCCTAATAATTAAACCTAATAACTGAGTTTCTTCTAGAGATTTTATATGGAGAGATAGGACGCAAATTTGGCTGTTGACATTGATCATATATTTACATATATTCAGATATGTACCAAGAAATAACAATATGCAGCGTATGCGATCCCACGCTGAATCAATGTAAACTGTATATTGTGAGGATTGTATATAAACATATATATACAATCAATATATACAATATATACGTATATATACGTATACAATATATATGTATATATACATGTATACAGGGTGACAATAAATAACCCGGACAAACTTTTTTTATCATAACTTCTTAAGGAACTGTATTTGAGAAAAAATACAGATACACAACTATTAAATAGGTATTGTGTTAACATGTATTCAGCCAGTTTCGAAGTGGCTTCATTGGGCTGCGATGCAGAGCCCTAAACGTTTCTGAAAATTTTGCGCAATGGGCCGCAGGTCTTCTTCCGATAATCGATCCCGTTCTCGGAGCAATGATTGCTTCAGCGCCTCCAAACTTATGTGCCGTTAAGCACATGCCCTGGACTCCAAAATAGACCACACACTCTAGTCCATCGGATTAAGATCTGGCGAGTAAGGTGACCATTCACAGCATGTGATAAAGTCCGGGAAATTGGCTTTGAACCAGTCCTGAGTCAATTTGGCTCTATGGGCTGACGCTGAATCCTGTTGAAACGTCCACTCCATATCACCGAAGTGCTGCTAGGCCCAAGGAAGCACAACAGTTTCCAAAATGTCCGGCGGTACACTTCCTGATTGATTTTGACCCCTTGATCGATGAAAACAAGGGGTGTTTTGCCAGTGGCGCATATTCCTCCCCAAACCATTAAAGACTGCTCACATTGACGGCGCTCGATTATTGCAGAGGTACCTGGAGCTTTAACAGACCAGCTTCTGTCATTTTGGTGATTGTTCGCCTTTTGGATGGTGAATATCTTCTCGTCCGTGAAAAGAATACGCTCCCATTTTTGACCTGCGGCCCGACGCTTTAGCTGACGGCATCTTTGGAGTCTCACGCGCTTATTGTCATCCGTAAGAAGATGCATTTTTTGGAGCTTGTAGGGCTTGAGATTAAGTTCATTTTTTGCTATCAACCGAACACTTTCTCGATTCACTCCGATTTCACGGGCTATTTTTTCTGACCGAGACTCTGCAATTGCGAGTGATCCGCTTTTTCACTATCTGGCGAATTCTGCAAGTGTTAGCGGTACATGGTCTGCCTCGTCTGGGACGGTCACCTTCATGGCCAAGCTCATTAAATCGCCGGATAGCGTCAGAGACCGTTTGTTTTGGTATGCCAAGCAAACAAACAATGTCGCATTGACGATTTCCTTGTTGAAACAGTTTTAAAATTTCACAACGATTGTTAGACATCCCGAAAGAAATATCAAATTGATGGGAATCACAAAAATGTAAATATATTTGTTTTAGAAAAGTACAAGCTATCGATAAATGCATTTATGTAAGGGCTGCATCATAATACATTTATAATAGATTGCTTCAAAGTTTGTCCGGGTTATTTATTGTCACCCTGTATATTGTATATTGTATATATTGTGAGGAGAGTTAGTCTCCCCACACGCTAAGACAGATGGCCGGGGGCAAAGGAGGGCCGAGAAGGTGCGAAAGCGGCAAAAGGGGGTCAAGCTCCGGTTATCAACCTGTCGGCCAATGTCGCCAATGTCGCCAGGATCAGTATGGGGGGTTGGGGGGAACGTGAAAGCCAGGTACCTTGGGTCAAGGAGCGAAGGGGCGGCGAGGGCCGAAACACCGCCACCCGTGGGAAGACGGAATCTACGTGGAACTCAACGGGTTCCGGCGAAGGGTTAAACACCGCCAGCCGGAGAAGACGGAATCGACGTGGAACGTAACGGTTCCCAGAGCAACGATGGAAAGGTAGTCGAAGGGGGGAGGGGAATTAGCACGCCGCGCAGGCGGCCTTAGAAAGTGTGGCAAGGTGAGCAGAAAAGGTGGAGCATGGAGCAAAGGGTTGCGACGCAGAGTGCAGCAGATATCAATGGCCAGGAGAAACGAGGGGCCACGGACGGCGACCCGCCAACGGGAAAGTGGCGTGATTCTGGAAGCAGAATCCGGGAGCATTAACGGGCGCTCCAGTCAGTATAAAAGGAGGTCCATTGGAGCGTATATGGACGAGTCTTTTTGGGAAGCTTGTAGCGTTGAGTTGGAGGACCGCCGGTGGAGAGTCCGCCATTCAAGTGTTAGAGCGTTTCTTAAAAGGATTCGGTTTGTTTGAGTTGAAGGACCGCCTTTAGAGAGTCCGACAGCCAAACGCAAGGAGAGCGAAAAGACAAGTGAGAAAAGGATCCATTCCTGGACGTTCCTCTACAAACCCAGGGAAGTGTAATCGAGTTGGTCCTTTCCCGAACACGGCAGGTAGCTTTGCAAGGAAGTGAGGAAAGCATATGTCTGAGATCGCACGCCCGGTGTACATAAAACGTAAGGGACAAGACACAAGACAAAACCGGGGTGGGTTAATCGAGATGGGCCATTCCCTAACGCAAGGCTACCTGCCGTGTTCAGAAAAGTACCAACTCGATTACACTTCCCTGGGTTTGTAGAGGAACGTCCAGGAATGGATCCTTTTCTCAGGAAGGAAGTGAGGAAAGGATAAGTCTGGTGTATGCCTTACCGAATCCTGAAATAGGCCGACTCGGGATCGCACGCCCGGTAGTCGTGAGACGTACAAGGCAAGGGAGACAAGGATCCCTCGCTGGACGGTTTCTTTACGAGCCCAGGGTATCAGAGTCGAGTAGGGCCATTCCCGAACACGGCAGGTAGCCTTGCAAGGAAGTGAGGAAAGCATATGTCTGGCGTACCCCTTACTGACTCCTGGAATCGCAACCAACAGGCGTGGTCCTGCGACACAAGGATAGGCCGACTCGAGAATTCACGCCAAAAGACCGAGTGAGAGCACCCCGGTCCCAGCCCCGCCACCACAAATTCGGGCTCGCCGGCGCGTATGCACGGTGTCCCGGTGTAGCGGAAGCGAAACGCACGGTCAGTAACACGGCAAATTCCAAATCTGTCTCCGTATGCACGGTGTCCCGGTGTAGCGAAGGCGATAGTCCGCTGCAGCGCAGCAAGAGGAGTAGCATCGGCAACGTAGAAGCGGCGGCGTGCCCCGAACAATTGCCGACGTAGGGGACGCCGACGACGGAGCCGGCAGCGACGGGAGGAGCAACGAAAAAGAAAGAAAGAAACCTTTGTAATTGAAAGAGATCTCTAAATAAAGAGTGTGGAAATCTCTAGCTGTTTGTATCTGGGCTTGGGCAATCACGTCGAATCTATTAATTCGGTGTAACGGATTCGCAAAACTCTGTGAGCTAGCCGCGGAAAATTGTGGCGAGCGGAAGCAGAAAGAACAGTTTGTTAAAATATTCAGGTATGTACCAATAAATAAGAATATGCAACGTAGGCAATCGCACGCAGAATCAATGTAAGCAATCCACACCTGGAGCGGGCGACTTCGCTCCCAAACTTTTGTTAACAAACGGCAGCAAAGTAAGATTTACAAGTAAGATTTTTGTAACAAGAAATTAGTCTTAAGTTGAGATCAACCAAATAAAGACGTGAACCTAAATCCTCGTTCACTTATTCTACTTAGCGTTGTACTTAGTCAACTGACGAGACATTGTTCGACTCATTTAAATAATAAACAATTTTACTATGTTGAACTCGTGCGATTGTATGTAACTTGAAGAAGAAATCATCTTCGGCCCCATAGGATATATATATTCTTGATTAGCGTCAACAGCCGAGTTACTATATGTAGCTATATCCGTCTGGATCCACAAGGAGGCTGAAACGGACCCATCCATTGGACCTCTGCCACTCGGGCGAAATAACTTGAATTCTATCGCTAAGGTTTACTGTTAAAATTAGTTTCCTAGGATAAGCAAACATTGTACTACTCAATATTTCATTAAGTTAAGTTAATTATTGTCCATATCTCCGGACAGATTTTAAATATAACTATTGATTGATTGATAATAAAAAAAAAAAAAAAATATCCGTCTGTATGTACTAACGCGTGAATCTCAGAGATTATAACAGATACAACTATAGGATTTGTCATGGATACTCTTATAATACCCAGGCAGTAGAAGCTTGTTTCAATTTTTCGCCAAGCCCCTTCCGTTTCACAAATTACATGGTGTTTTAAAATAGTTTTTATGCCAAACTATTTCTATACATAAATTATTTTTGTAAAACAAATTCCAGCCTTCTGATTGCGCTGACCGAAAGGCAACACCGTTGTGCAATAAAAGCAGGTGACGCTGGCATTGCATTATTTCCTTGACGACAATGCGGGGTAAGCTTGGCAACTTCTTTGTAGCTGGGTGACCGTGTTAATAATATAACTGTCAATAATAAGTTGAATGTCATGCTGGCAACAGAAATTTTTAACATGTTTTGCTTGCAACTAAACTTAAAACTTTAACTCG